CAAGCATAAGAAATATTGTTGGAACAACTGGACCTCTGCAGGAAAGAATTTGACACGTTCCTGCAAGTAGGAACGAACGTTATTCGTTCGTTAGAATGAATAACTTATATTCGTTATAGTTATTCGTAGTCAGAACGTTCTTGCAAGTAGCATCAAGTGTGTCATAGTGAATATGTGGGCCTGCGGGCCGTTCCAAGCAACAGTCTGCTGGATCAAGTTATCAAAAGTCATACCAGGCTTATTGGAGGGTAGAACTCCCAGAACCCAGAACTACAGGTATACTCCAGGTATGTCCCCTCACAGCAAATATTATTAAACGTTCAACGTACAGTGTATATGAACGAAAATGAGTTACCTTAAATAATGTTTCAAGCAGTGATGATAATATGTTTTCCTGCGAGTTAATTCTCTCTGAATATATACATAAGCTTCTAATAATGATCCGTGTCTATTGGGAATGACATAAACCCTTCAAATAGATTTTACAAAAGCTATTGGACCATAGATCTGTTGAACACAACCATTGCAGTGTTGCTCTTGGGGGATCGCTTCAACAGAATTGTATATTAAACACATTGCAGACTGACATGAATTTGCAGGAGGTGTCCCTGGCGGGCAGCAGGACAGAGCCTCAATGATGCAGTGATATCCCGCCGCTCACGATATATGGTTATCGTAAATTGTAACTCGTTCGGTGTTTATGGCCAATGATATTTTGGCGAATGCGGCGGGTTTAGCAGCTCCAAAATGGCGACGAGGTACGTGACTAGACAGTGGCGGAGTTGGGCGGCCTGCCTGCCCTCCTGGCGGAGTTGGGCGGCCTGCCTGCCTTTCCTGGCGGAGTCGGGCGGCCTGCCTGCCCTCCTGGCGGCGGCGGAATATGCTGGGAACACAGACCGGTGTGTCAATTTCCCACTATGTAAAGAATTAAACTGTTATAGAGCAGATAAAAGGGAGAGAGAGAGAGAGAGAGAGAGAGAGAGAGAGAGAGAGAGAGAGAGAGAGAGAGAGAGAACTGAGAATACAAGGAAAGGGGATGGAGTAGATAAGGCGTGGAGGAAGGGAGAGGGGGGGGGGGGATATATGGGAAGGGGTAAGAGAGCAGAGGATGAAGAGGGTAATGAGGTCAGAGTGTTATTAAAACCGTCTGATCAAGTTGCCGCTCTCATTACTCCTCCGTCAAGGCCACTGGAATAACGGATGTAATTAATGTATCCCTTCCACGAATCAGACAGCAGAGACGGGAAGGGAGACAGGTGAGAGAGAGAGAGAGAGAGAGAGAGAGAGAGAGAGAGAGAGGGGGGGGGCAGGGAGGGAGAGTGAGAGAGAAAGGGGGTGAGAGGGAGAGAGAGAGAAGCATAACAACCTGTTCTCTCTGGAGTAGAACACCGGATTTTGACGAATAAATGTCCCTAAGGCCAGGCAAAACCTGGTGTACGAAAGCACCAACCCATCCTCTGTCTAAATGGTATCCTTTATCACCATGTGGTCCATCGTACATGTAGTGACGTAATGGACAATTAGAAAGTAGAATTTGTTACTATTCACTTGATAAAGAGTTCGGAAAAAATAAATCTAAAAAGCAAACTTAAATTTTACTAGGCCTAGTGTAGTACATATATGAACTGTATTAGGCCTAGGACGGTTAGGTTAGGTTTTATTAGCAACTTAAATAGAAAACTTTGTTAAGAGAACGTTCATTGGCTGTGTTTTGTACATACACAAGATAATAATTAGAACGAATACTAATAATGATAATTACATCAATAGGATCAATAAGGGCAACATAAAAGCCTATGTAATTATAACCAATCAGAGAAGCCTTGACTGTGAAGCCCCCGTCAACACTGCCGTCACATAGGGCCCCGTCTGTGTGTGTGTGTGTGTGTGTGTGTGTGTGTGTCTGTGTGTGTGTGTATGTGTGTGTGTGTATGTGTGTGTGTATGTGTGTGTGTCTGTGTGTGTGTCTGTGTGTGTGTCTGTGTGTGTGTCTGTGTGTGTGTGTGTGTGTGTGTGTGTGTGTGTGTGTGTGTGTGTGTGTGTGTGTGTGTGTGTGTATTTTAGACAATCAGGGGGTACGTTACCTGTTTGTATTCACCTGTTTAAGCTGGTGATCGAGGTGTCTTTGGAGTGCGTGCGCGCGTGCGTGCGTACCTCTCAATACCTGTGTATTAATCACGAGGGAAAAAGTACGATCTAGCTCCTGGTGTCCCATCTCCTGGTCTTGTTGTACATGTGTGTCTGTGGGGGGGGGGGAAGAGGGATTATGTGAAGGTATATATATATATTTTTTTTTTCCTTTTTTCAGTGGCTGAAATAAGTCATTGCTGCTTTGGCTCTCTCTTTCTCTTTCTCTCTCTTTCTCTCTCTCTGTCTCTCTCTTTATCTCTCCCTCTCTCCTTTTCTCTCTTTCCTTTTTCTCTCCTCTCTTTCTCCTCTTTCCCTCTCCTCTCTTTCCCTCTCCTCTCTTTCCCTCTCCTCTCTCCCTCTCCTCTCTCCCCTCTCCTTCTCTCTCTCCTCTCTTTTTTCTCTTCTCTCTTTTCTCTCTCTCTCTCTGCACGAAGGAAGAACAACAACAAACATCAGTGTGTGTGCTTGCGTGAAGCGCCGTTCCTAAATTGCTATTGACACTGGCCGCAAACATCAAGAGATTTCACACAAGTTTGAGGCCCCGAGGGCGTCAAAGGACTCGCCGGGGCACCAGGCCATAACCTCAAACGGGAGCGAGGCGTCGGTAACGGAGCCGATATTCCTTCCTCGCTCCAGCCCCTCACTTTACGGGCTCACCATAGCCCGTGCTACATGGACACTTCGTCCTGAGTTGCTAAATCTTTAACAACAACAACATCCTTTCTGGCAAGACTGGAAGGTTATGGTGATGTTGGTGTGTGTTTGAGGTCTTGGGATTGTGGTTGAGGAGAGACATCAAGAGTGGTCATTGTGGGGGAATTGTCGTGATGTTGTGAGGGGTTGTGATGTTGTGGTAGGGGGGTTGGGAGGTATTGGGAGGTTGTGATGAGGGGGTTTGTTGATGATATTTGACGAGCTGCAGATACCTGTTGGGATTTGTTGATCAGGGATTATAGGCATTGATTTGAGCTTGGGTATTGGATGGTATTTGTGTGTGTGTGTGTGGGAGAGTACACATATATGTATTCACATAGAAGCACAATCAGGGTCGAGCTTCAGCTCCTAAGCTTCCCTATGTTATGCTGCAAGTCCAGCTATCGATTGGTTAATTCAATGACGTTCTTCCTTGTATTTAACCTACCAAATATGCCTTTGAAATGGTGTTTACTTTAGGCTTCATCTATGTACTTTTACCCGTTACTTTCCTTTACAACTTTTACAACAAAATAAAAATCTTCCTGGCATCCCCGTGACTGATTTGCGATTCCAATTTCCATAAATGTATCTCGTTCCTCTATATTTTGAAAATTACTTCTTTGATCCCTTTGTCGATTTCCATCATAATCTTGCATGTTATCATCACGTCTCTGCGTAATGATAACTGCATGTTTCTTCAGTTATCATCACTGCGCCTAGGCCGCCTTCACTTGTTGAGAGGTGGGGGGGGGGGGCTGGGGGCACTTGTCCTTCAGTCATGAAGCTGCGACGTGTCCTCTCCTCACATTATTGACCCTTGAAATGATTATTGGTCTGATGTGTAGTAGAAAAGACGCAAGCAATTACACCATCAGAGGATAATTACAGTTTAGCGAAGCAGGTGAAGAGGGCGGGCCTCCTGGGGATCAATAGAACAGGCAGCGGGGTGCAGGGGGAGAGAAGAAGCTTTTGGGCGGGAAGGCAGGAGGCTTTTGGGCGGGAAGGCAGGAGGCTTTTGGGCGGGAAGGCAGGAGGCTTTTGGGCGGGAAGGCAGGAGGCTTTTGGGCGGGAAGGCAGGAGGCTTTTGGGCGGGAAGGCAGGAGGCTTTTGGGCGGGAAGGCAGGAGGCTTTTGGGCGGGAAGGCAGGAGGCTTTTGGGCGGGAAGGCAGGAGGCTTTTGGGCGGGAAGGCAGGAGGCTTTTGGGCGGGAAGGCAGGAGGCTTTTGGGCGGGAAGGCAGGAGGCTTTTGGGCGGGAAGGCAGGAGGCTTTTGGGCGGGAAGGCAGGAGGCTTTTGGGCGGGAAGGCAGGAGGCTTTTGGGCGGGAAGGCAGGAGGCTTTTGGGCGGGAAGGCAGGAGGCTTTTGGGCGGGAAGGCAGGAGGCTTTTGGGCGGGAAGGCAGGAGGCTTTTGGGCGGGAAGGCAGGAGGCTTTTGGGCGGGAAGGCAGGAGGCTTTTGGGCGGGAAGGCAGGAGGTTTTTGGGCGGGAAGGCAGGAGGTTTTTGGGCGGGAAGGCAGGAGGCTTTTGGGCGGGAAGGCAGGAGGCTTTTGGGCGGGAAGGCAGCTTGAGGGAAGGGGTGGACACACACATCCACGTTATTTATGACTAAGAAACATTAAAATAGGCCGTCACTCAGAATCTATCCGGGGACAAAACTTTTCCCTTAGTTCGTTGATTAAAAATTAGAGTTGAGTGACGGTATGTGCAGGGATGTTAATTATATCTCTCTCTCTCTCTCTCTAAGACAAAACCCTAGGCTATTGAGGACTTGATATATAAAACCCAGGAAGGTGGTCAAATGGCTTCCTTCTGGAGGATGACGGGGATATCCCAAGTTATCCTACGTGTGGATGAGTTACAGGCAGGTAATGAGTTTCCACTAGAGATGCTGGAAAGATCTTGCTCTCCCGTCACACGCTATCAAGTTCATTAAGCTCAGTTTGTTTTAACAAGAAAGTTCACTTTGCATTTCTGACGAACTTTCTGCTAAACGCTGCGGTCTCATTCATATAAATAGGCTAATATTTATAATTCAATATTCTTAATTTACACGTAAGGTCACATGTATTGTAGAGACAATGTGGTAAATGTAGTGTTTATTGTGTGTTAAACACATGTGTTTAATAATGTTTAATTAAAACATGTGTTTAATAATGTGTGTTTCTCTCTTCCCTCAGGAGTGTCGCAGTTCACACAAGTGGCCGAGGACTGTGGGGAGGATGCCATCTTCGACGAGGTCAGTCACCGTCCTGTGTTGAACTGCTGACCTGACCTTTGCTCACCTGACCTTTGCTCACCTGACCTCTCTTGAATGCACTCTCCTGTAGATCTCCAACTCCCTCCCCACCCCCTAGCTCTGTAACTGGTGCTATCAGGACGCAATTGATATCCTTTATGTCTATCCCTTGTCTTCCAAGGTTATTCTCACTCTGCATCCATTGATCTCCAAGGCCGTCACTCAACCGGTTTCTCTCCTCTCTTCTCCCTCTCAAGCCTCTCTCTCTCTCTCTCTCTCTCTCTCTCTCTCTCTCTCTCTCTCTCTCTCTCTCTCTCTCTCTCTCCCCGTCTCAGTCATCTCTGTATGTTCATGGCGCCTCGATCACACGTGGAACAAAGTTAGGGGCGCCGTGACATGCGAGGGAAGCCAAGCATGACCCAGGCTTCGACTACCAAGATAATGTAATTCGCATCACAAGAGCTTCGTGCCTAAAGTTACAGAAGACGTGATACCACTGTAACGGATCTGATTGGGTAATGGCTCTTTGGTTGGTTAGATTCTTGGTTCTGAACCAAGAACAGAAACCACAACACCTCCAATAAAATTCTATTACAAATCCACTATGCACAGGGAATATAATAAAGTGGAAAGAATAATGAAAGAAATAATCCTTATAGGATTAAAAAGCACAACCATTAACCAAAAACATAGACATCATCATATACTAGAAATCAAAGAAGGAATTTAACCTCATTATAAACTGCCCGAAGCCAACTGAGAAGCCTTGACAGCAGTCAAACGAGGTATGTATGTACACTTGCCCCCCCACGAAGGATGTAACCTTCAATCTAAGTACATAGGTATGACGTCGACCAAGCTGACGAGGCGTTTGACCTGTCATCTTCAATCAGGTGTACCCAAAAATCATATGTTAGAAGCCCCATGACATCAAAAGAATGAAAATTCTGAATAAAAACATTGACATATTAGACAGTTCTCATGATGTAAGATGATTACAAGTTCTTGAAGCCCGTCTCATATTAGTGGAACAATAAATACTTAAATTACGGAACTATTCACGCTACCCACCATGAGAGTGAGAGCACTCTACCCACCATGAGAGTGAGAGCACTCTACCCACCATGAGAGTGAGAGCACTCTACCCACCATGAGAGTGAGAGCACTCTACCCACCATGAGAGTGAGAGCACTCTACCCACCATGAGAGTGAGAGCACTCTACCCACCATGAGAGTGAGAGCACTCTACCCACCATGAGAGTGAGAGCACTCTACCCACCATGAGAGTGAGAGCACTCTACCCACCATGAGAGTGAGAGCACTCTACCCACCATGAGAGTGAGAGCACTCTACCCACCATGAGAGTGAGAGCACTCTACCCACCATGAGAGTGAGAGCACTCTACCCACCATGAGAGTGAGAGCACTCTACCCACCATGAGAGTGAGAGCACTCTACCCACCATGAGAGTGAGAGCACTCTACCCACCATGAGAGTGAGAGCACTCTACCCACCATGAGAGTGAGAGCACTCTACCCACCATGAGAGTGAGAGCACTCTACCCACCATGAGAGTGAGAGCACTCTACCCACCATGAGAGTGAGAGCACTCTACCCACCATGAGAGTGAGAGCACTCTACCCACCATGAGAGTGAGAGCACTCTACCCACCATGAGAGTGAGAGCACTCTACCCACCATGAGAGTGAGAGCACTCTACCCACCATGAGAGTGAGAGCACTCTACCCACCATGAGAGTGAGAGCACTCTACCCACCATGAGAGTGAGAGCACTCTACCCACCATGAGAGTGAGAGCACTCTTCTACCCACCATGAGAGTGAGAGCACTCTACCCACCATGAGAGTGAGAGCACTCTACCCACCATGAGAGTGAGAGCACTCTACCCACCATGAGAGTGAGAGCACTCTACCCACCATGAGAGTGAGAGCACTCTACCCACCATGAGAGTGAGAGCACTCTACCCACCATGAGAGTGAGAGCACTCTACCCACCATGAGAGTGAGAGCACTCTACCCACCATGAGAGTGAGAGCACTCTACCCACCATGAGAGTGAGAGCACTCTACCCACCATGAGAGTGAGAGCACTCTACCCACCATGAGAGTGAGAGCACTCTACCCACCATGAGAGTGAGAGCACTCTACCCACCATGAGAGTGAGAGCACTCTACTCACCATGAGAGTGAGAGCACTCTACCCACCATGAGTGAGGGCACTCTACCCACCATGAGAGTGAGAGCACTCTACCCACCATGAGAGTGAGAGCACTCTACCCACTATGAGAGTGAGAGCACTCTACCCCACCATATGAGTGAGAGCACTCTACCCCACCATGAGAGTGAGAGCACTCTACCCCACCATGAGAGTGATAGCACTCTACCCACCATGAGAGTGAGAGCACTCTACCCACCATGAGAGTGAGAGCACTCTACCCACCATGAGAGTGGGAGCACTCTACCCACCATGAGAGTGAGAGCACTCTACCCACCATGAGAGTGAGAGCACTCTACCCACCATGAGAGTGAGAGCACTCTACCCACCATGAGAGTGAGAGCACTCTACCCACCATGAGAGTGAGAGCACTCTACCCACCATGAGAGTGAGAGCACTCTACCCACCATGAGAGTGAGAGCACTCTACCCACCATGAGAGTGAGAGCACTCTACCCACTATGAGAGTGAGAGCACTCTACCCCACCATGAGAGTGAGAGCACTCTACCCACCATGAGAGTGAGAGCACTCTACCCCACCATGAGAGTGAGAGCACTCTACCCCACCATGAGAGTGAAAGCACTCTACCCCACCATGAGAGTGAAAGCACTCTACCCACCATGAGAGTGAGAGCACTCTACCCACCATGAGAGTGGTAGCACTCTACCCACCATGAGAGTGAGAGCACTCTACCCACCATGAGAGTGAGAGCACTCTACCCACCGTGAGAGTGAGAGCACTCTACCCACCGTGAGAGTGAGAGCACTCTACCCACCAAGAGAGTGGGAGCACTCTACCCACCATGAGAGTGGGAGCACTCTACCCACCATGCGAGTGAGAGCACTCTACCCACCATGAGAGTGAGAGCACTCTACCCACCATGAGAGTGAGAGCACTCTACCCACCATGAGAGTGAGAGCACTCTACCCACCATGAGAGTGAGAGCACTCTACCCACCATGAGAGTGAGAGCACTCTACCCACCATGAGAGTGAGAGCGCTCTACCCACCATGAGAGTGGGAGCACTCTACCCACCATGAGAGTGAGAGCACTCTACCCACCATGAGAGTGAGAGCACTCTACCCACCATGAGAGTGAGAGCAAGAACGGAATGCAAAGATTCCATCGGTGATGTCACTGCCCAGCACGTCACTGCCCAGCACGTCACTGCCCAGCACGTCACTGCCCAGCACGTCACTGCCCAGCACGTCACTGCCCAGCACGTCACTGCCCAGCACGTCACTGCCCAGCACGTCACTGCCCAACACGTCACTGCCCAACACGTCACTGCCCAGCACGTCACTGCCCAACACGTCACTGCCTACTACGCTCACCCGAGTTCTACTCACCTGACTAACCTTTCTATGTTTACTTTGTGACCCCAGGCTTTACTCCTTAGTTTAGACATTTCCTTCACCTAACTGTATGTACCCGACTTCCCAGCGGTATAAATGTTCTCTTCTGGCACATCTTTTGTGTCACCATTTGGTCACCACTTGGTCCGGGAGACATCTCCCGTCACGCAGGGTGCAGTTACGCCTCCACAGATCTCCAGTATCATCTTTTGATACTGGTAATGGCTCAAAAGGGCCACCACTTACGGGCTATTCATGCCCGTGCCACCTCTTGGGTGGCTTAATCTTCATCAATCAATCACATCTTTTGTGACAGCCCCGCTCCTGTGCCAGGTAAGTCCACTACGGGCTCACCATAGCCCGTGCTACTTGGAACTTTTTGTTCCAAGTAGCGAATCTTAAACAACAACACATCTTTAATGCCATATACAAAAGAATAGGGCATGGTAGAAGAAGAAAATATTAAGGTGTTCAGTGAGAATCCACACGGTCTTCTCTGAATACTCTTTATTTTCTTCTCCGAGGCTATGGGTCCCTACACTTGCACCAGAGGTGTTCCACCCTCCCACAACTTGTCAACTGTAAGCTCTACATCACCAGTATTGTCTTAACACACAGAAATCACAATAGCGTGATGCATCAAATGAACAAATCCACAAGGGCCGTGACGAGGATTCGAACCTGCGTCTTAGAGCATCCCAGACGCTGCCTTAATCGACTGAGCTACGACATGGTCAAAAAGAGTTGACTATGTCAGTAGAACTTCGGTTTCAACTCTTTTTTTTTTTTTACCATGTCGTAGCTCAGTCGATTAAGGCAGCATCTGGGATGCTCTCGGACGCAGGTTCGAATCCTCGTCACGAGGGGCAGAGTTTCTTTCACCCTATGCCCCTGTTACCTAGCAGTAAAATAGGCACCTGGGGTGTTAGTCAGCTGTCACGGGCTGCTTCCTGGGGGGTGGAGGCCTGGTCGAGGACCGGGCCGCGGGGACACCAAAAAGCCTCGAAATCATCTCAAGATAACCTCAAGATAACCACCCTAGTGGATTTGTTCAATACTGTCTTGTTACAAGTTGTTTAAGCAGCATATGTTGAATTGCCCATTGTGTGAAGGGGTAGATATTTAGGGTGTTTAACACATGTTGTGTCCGTTGCAGGTGTTGGAGTGGCCGGTGGGCCGGTGCGTGGAGCCTGGAGAGGAAGTGCAGGTGCAGCTGCAGGTGTTCAATAAGTACTTCAGCAACAGGAGTGTGGCCACCTACTCCCTCGTCCTTCAGCGGCTGGTGGGCGAGGGAACCTTAGTAGTCACGGACCACATGACTGACGCCAACAACAAGCTTGTCCAGGTGTGTGTGTGTGTGTGTGTGTGTGTGTGTGTGTGTGTGTGTGTGTGTGTGTGTGTACTTACCTAATTGTGCTTGCGGGGGTTGAGCTCTGGCTCTTTGGTCCCGCCTCTCAACCGTCAATCAACTGGTGTACAGATTCCTGAGCCTATTGGGCTCTATCATATCTACATTTGAAACTGTGAATGGAGTCAGCCTCCACCACATCACTTCCTAATGCATTCCATTTGCTAACTACTCTGACACTGAAAAAGTTCTTTCTAACGTCTCTGTGGCTCATTTGGGTACTCAGCTTCCACCTGTGTCCCCTTGTTCGCGTCCCACCAGTGTTGAAAAGTTCGTCCTTGTTTACCCGGTCGATTCCCCTGAGGATTTTGTAGGTTGTGATCATGTCCCCCCTTACTCTTCTGTCTTCCAGTGTCGTGAGGTGCATTTCCCGCAGCCTTTCCTCATAACTCATGCCTCTTAGTTCTGGGACTAGTCTAGTAGCATACCTTTGGACTTTTTCCAGCTTCGTCTTGTGCTTGACAAGGTACGGGCTCCATGCTGGGGCCGCATACTCCAGGATTGGTCTTACATATGTGGTGTACAAGATTCTGAATGATTCCTTACACAGGTTCCTGAACGCCGTTCTGATGTTAGCCAGCCTCGCATATGCCGCAGACGTTATTCTCTTTATGTGGGCTTCAGGAGACAGGTTTGGTGTGATATCAACTCCTAGATCTTTCTCTCTGTCTGTTTCATAAAGTACTTCATCTCCTATTCTGTATCCTGTGCCTGGCCTCCTGTTTCCACTGCCTAGTTTCATTACTTTGCATTTACTTGGGTTGAACTTCAACAGCCATTTGTTGGACCATTCACTCAGTCTATCCAGGTCATCTTGTAGCCTCCTACTATCATCCTCTGTTTCAATCCTCCTCATAATTTTTGCATCGTCGGCAAACATTGAGAGGAACGAATCTATACCCTCTGGGAGATCATTTACATATACCAGAAACAGTATAGGTCCAAGGACTGACCCCTGCGGGACTCCACTTGTGACGTCTCGCCAATCTGAGACCTCACCCCTCACACAGACTCGTTGTCTCCTGTTGCTTAGGTATTCCTCTATCCACCGGAGTACCTTCCCTCTCACTCCAGCCTGCATCTCCAACTTTCGCACTAGCCTCTTGTGTGGCACTGTATCAAAGGCTTTCTGACAATCCAAAAATATGCAGTCTGCCCACCCTTCTCTTTCTTGCCTTATTTTTGTTGCCTGGTCGTAGAATTCAAGTAACCCTGTGAGGCAGGACCTGCCATCCCTGAACCCATGTTGATGCTGTGTTACAAAGTTCCTTCGCTCCAGATGCTCCACTAGTTTTTTTCGCACAATCTTCTCCATCAGCTTGCATGGTATGCAGGTTAGGGACACTGGCCTGTAGTTCAGTGCCTCCTGTCTATCCCCTTTCTTGTATATCGGGACTACGTTAGCTGCTTTCCAAGTATCTGGCAGTTCCCCTGTTGCCAGTGATTTGTTATACACTATGGAGAGTGGTAGGCTCAGTTCTCTTGCTCCTTCCTTTAGAACCCAAGGGGAGATTCCATCTGGGCCTATAGCCTTCGTCACGTCCAACTCTAGTAAACACTTCCTTACTTCCCCACTGGTAATCTCAAACTCTTCCAGTGGTTCCTGGTTAGCTATTCCCTCACTTACCTCTGGAATTTCTCCTTGTTCTAAGGTGAAGACCTCCTGGAATTTCTTATTCAATTCCTCACACACTTCCTTGTCATTTGTAGTGAATCCTTCCGCCCCTATCCTTAATCTCATAACCTGTTCCTTTACTGTTGTTTTTCTCCTAATGTGGCTATGCAACAATTTAGGCTGAGTCTTTGCCTTGCTTGCGATGTCATTTTCGTATTGTCTTTCTGCCTCTCTTCTCATCCTGACATATTCATTCCTGGCATTCTGGTATCTTTCTCTGCTCTCCAGTGTCCTGTTATTCCTATAGTTTCTCCATGCCCTTTTACTTTGCTGCTTAGCTAGCCTACATCTTTGATTAAACCATGGGTTTCTCATCTTCATTTCTCTGTTTTCCTTTTGGACTGGGACAAACTTGTTTGCTGCGTCCTTGCACTTCTGCGTGATGTAATCCATCATATCTTGGGCCGTCTTTCCCCTGAGCTCTGTTTCCCATGCTATATCTGTTAGGAATTTTCTTATCCCCTCATAGTTTCCCTTTCGGTATGCTAACCTTTTGGTTTCGGTATCCCTCCTCGAGTTCAATAACCCTTCTTCAATCAAGTACTCAAACACCAGTACACTGTGGTCGCTCATTCCTACTGGGTCCTCAAAACCGATTTCTCTTATGTCGGAGTCGTTCAGAGTGAAGACTAGGTCGAGTCTCGCTGGTTCATCATTGCCTCTCATCCTTGTGGGTTCTCCGACATGCTGCGTTAAAAAGTTGCTTGTCACCACCTCCAATAGTTTGGCTCTCCACGTATCCTCGCCTCCATGCGGTTCCTTGTTCTCCCAGTCAATCTTTCCGTGATTGAAGTCGCCCATGATGAGCAGGTGGGATCTATTTCTACAGGCAGCAGAGGCTGCCCTCTCAATTATAGTGTTAACTGCCTTGTTGTTGTTTTCATACTCTTGACTGGGTCTCCTGTCATTTGGTGGAGGGTTGTATATTACTGCTACTACTATTCTTGGTCCTCCCATTGTTATGGTGCCTGCTATGTAGTCTCTGAACTCCTCACAGCCCGGGATGGCCATCTCCTTAAAACTCCATTCCCTTCTCATGAGTAGGGCCACTCCGCCTCCTCCTCTACCTTCCCTCTCTTTCCTTATTACTGTATACTCCTGGGGAAACACGTGTGTGTGTGTGTGTGTGTGTGTGTGTGTGTGTGTGTGTGTGTATACTCACCTATTTGTGCCTGCAGGATCGAGCATTGACTCTTGGATGTGTGTGTGTGTGTATTCACCTAGTTGTATTCACCTAGTTGTGTTTGCGGGGGTTGAGCTTTGCTCTTTCGGCCCGTCTCTCAACTGTAAATCAACTGTTTACTAACTGTTGTTAGTACTGCTGGTTTGTGTGTGTGTGTAAGTATGTGTGTGTGTGTGTGTGTGTGTGTGTGTGGGAGGACAGGTAGACAGGAGAGCTGTCACAAAGGAACAGGTGTGTAGTGTAGAAGGTGGGCAAGTGCCACTTTGTGTGGACGGGGGGGGGCCATAGCGTGCGTGCGTGCAGCAGGTCGGGAGGTGCGTGCTACACGAACGACGAACAGCTCACACCTGCTGCTGCTGCCACACGCACTTCTATGTGGGCTTCTTGCTTGCTCGCCGTCCCACGCACGCACTCTCACAACACACGAAAAGAATTAACAAATAGAAGCACGATAAAACCCGTTTCGCTCAAGAACCTGTACACCGAGTGACAGTTGAGAGGCGGGACCAAAGAGCTGAAGCTCAACCCCCCTGCAAGCACAACTAGCTAAGTACACACACGCACACGCACACACACACACACACACACACACACACACACACGCACACACACACACACACACGCACACACACACACACACACACACACACACAGGGAGGCCTCGCGGCAGAGTGAACAGCGCTCGGTTGTCGTAGTCCTAAGGGGCTCAGGTTCGATTCCCCGCGGAGGCAGAAACAAATGGGCAATGTTTCACCCTGATGTTCACCTTTCAGTAAGTAGGTACCTGGGAGTTAGACAGCTGCCACGGGCTGCTTCCTGGGGATGTGTGAGTGTGTTAGAGAGAAACTATATGTAGTAGTTATAATAGAGAAAAAATAAATTAGAAAGGCGGGGTCCAAGAGCTAATAGCTCCATTCTGCAGACACAAATAGTAAATACAAATAGTAAATACACACACACAGGTAATCAAGCCAGTGACATTTAACATCAAAAGGAATGTTAACGCCCTTAAGGTTATATATTCCCTGGGGAGAGACTAATTAGTGACGTGTGTACGTGCGTGTCCGTGAGGGTCCGTGAGGGGTCCGTGAGGGTTCGTGAAGGGTCCGTGAGGGTCCGTGAGGGTCCGTGAAGGGTCCGTGAAGGTCCGTGAAGGGTTCGTGAGGGTCCGTGAAGGGTTCGTGAGGGTCCGTGAAGGTCCGTGAGGGTCCGTGAAGGGTTCGTGATGGTCCTTGAAGGTCCGTGAGGGTCCGTGAGGGGTCTGTGAGGGTCCGTGAGGGGTCCGTGAGGGTCCGTGAAGGATATGTGAGGGACCGTGAGGGTCCGTGAGGGTCCGTGAGGATCTGTGAGGGTCCGTGAGGGTCCGTGAGGGTCCGTGAGGGTCCGTGAGGATCTGTGAGGATCTGTGAGGGTCCGTGAGGGTCCGTGAGGATCTGTGAGGGTCCGTGGGGGTCCGTGTGGATCTGTGAGGGTCCGTGAGGGTCCGTGAGGATCTGTGAGGGTCCGTGAGGATCTGTGAGGGTCCGTGAGGATCCGTGAGGGTCCGTGAGGGTCCGTGAGGGTCCGTGAGGATCTGTGAGGGTCCGTGAGGGTCCGTGAGGATCTGTGAGGGGTCCGTGAGGGTCCGTGAGGGTCCGTGAAGGATATGTGAGGGTCCGTGAGGATCTGTGAGGGTCCGTAAGGGTCCGTCAGGGTCCGTGAGGTGTCCGTGTGTGTGTTCGTAATGGTCCATGAATGTATAACCATGAAGGTCCGTGTACGTGTTCGTGGGGGTACATTCCTTCACCCTTCTCATATCCCAGCTCCAATCCAGCCCTCATTCCCTTTCCAAGTAACAGCCTATTGCCTCAGCACGTTCTCATAAATTCCTCAATGCTGGCGCCGCACCTTCAAGAACTAGGCTGACGTATGTTACACAAAGTCATGAAAAATTTGAACAGGTGTCTGAAGGCGTTATTACACCTGCAGCTGATGTTAACAGGTTGATTTAAACAGTCATAGGGGGAAGATGCGGTATGATATTAATCCCAAGATCGTTTTCATAGTATGAAATGTGCATGACCGAAAGTGTGTGTGTGT